TAGTAGTAGTAGTAGTAACAGGACTAGTCAAGCAATACTATTTTAGTTTTTTCAAGTAAAACACGAAATATTAGGTTGGCTTTAGAACGTTTTAGTATACCAATAATAAAAATTAATGATTTCCTATAAAATAATTTGAGTTAATTAGCGAAAAACAAATATTTGATTTCGATTACAAAAGTTACCTTTAAGTTTTAAACCAAATTGGTACATGATAGAAACCTTTGAATTATCTAGTACGTTAACTTTAAATTAACTAAGGAAAATACCAAATTTCGATAACAATCCACTTAGGGAGTAATGATAAAAATAACACGTCAATATTAAGAAATGATTCTCTGATAAACAATACAATTTCTATAAATATAAACAATTTAAATAAATTAGCCCAAAAATCACATTTCGATTACGCTTTGATTACAAAAGTTACACATGTTTTAAATCAAATTGGTACATGATAGAAACCTTTTGACGAATTATCTAGTATATTGCGTTAACATTAAATTAACTAAGGAAATACCAGATTTCGATAACAATCCATTAATAATAAAAATAACACGTCAATAATAAGAAATAATTTTCTGATAAACAATACAATTTCTATAAACAATTTAAATAAATTAGCTACAAGTTACCTATCAAGTGTCAATAAAAGTGAATGACCTTTCTTCTCTTTTAAAAACAATATAAAATTTAATGATTAAAATAATTTATATAAACAAAATTCCGGTGCTCACAGAGCATCAGCTGATCAAATTTATATACAATTCTTAGCTAACTAGGTTCGCCATGTTGTTGTTTTTGTTGTTGTTGTAAATCATATCATTAAGGCCGAAGGTAAATTGAAGGGGTCTCTGGTTTATATGTTAAAACATTTCCTGATTTAAATTCAATTTGGAAAGTCGGATTTACCCCGTGGTCTTAATAAAGGTTCCATCCATCGATCTACTAATTCGCTCGCCCAAATATTATCACGTTTCTAGAGTTTTTACGTTTTCACAGCCAAACAAAACGGTTTTACATAAACCCTATTCCCAACCCTAACCCTAAATATAACCCCAAAACTATACACAACACTAACCACAACCCTAACCACAACCCTAACCCTAACCATAACCCCGAAGCTATTCATAACCCTAACCACAACCCTAACCCGAGCCCTAAACAATCGAATTCGTGTTGAACTAGCCTGTCACGTGAACAAAACAGTTTTTTGCCCATAACTCTCCAGGGAAGTAGTTTTACCTTAAGTCATGGGGGATGATTCAGCGTCCAAAATACACCGAATCAGATTGCTATCATACCCTCAGGGCCTTTTCACAAGAGTTTTCTTAAAATTTGGGCGAGCGATTTAGTGGGAGCGCATCAATTTAGTGAGTCTGGAAGTAGCTGTCACCTACAGCACTCATACTGATGAGGCTGCGTACCTCAGACTTCACTAGATTGATGTTAAGCTCTGAGGGATTGTCAACCTTTGCAAACCTAGCTAACTCTGGTGTGATCGACATTTTAAATACTTCAGACTCTACAACTTCATCAAACGGATTGTGGCAGTTATAGATAGCCTGCATACCAATGTGGTACAATACAGCATGGCTAAGTCCTGACTTAGTTGGTTTCTTTACAAATGTTCCAAACCCTAATATATTCTGATGACTGGGTCCTGGAACTGACACCGACGGTGGTGTAGGTCTCACAAGAGGCTCTTTCTTCTTGTTAAGTAAGAACCTCTGTTTGTTTTCTGGATAGTCCTTATTGGCATTAAGCATGATCATGTACACCGCATTACTTGCCTTTTTTCTGTTTGTACATGTCCGCTTAAACAGATCATTGATAGTGTTCCTCCCACAGTTCTCCTCATCCTCTCCAAACTCTATGAGGATGGTGCTGATGTTCTTCCAAGTGGGCTTTGAGATGAGGTTATTGGCACTTATGATATTACCGTGAAAAGTGTCAGTAGCTTCATGCTTCTCTTCATCTGTCACGACACTTTTGGGACCCATTCTCTTCTTTGAGATTTGGGCCTCTGCAAGTTTCTTCGTTGCTTCTGAATTAGGCTCCTTCTCCTCACTTAACTCTGCATGATTTAACCCTACCTCTTCATGTTCTGTATCTGCAGATGCATCCGTTTCTACCGTTGCTTCTGAATTAAGCTCCAAGTCTACGTGGACAGAGCGAGCTTGGAATGCAAGTATTGATGGCTGTTTGGATATAACATATTTCGCATTTGCAAGTCTTTTTAACCGCCATAAAGATTTGGCTCGATGGCTTTCGCTGCTGAAATGTCTATTTATAAATTTTCTGAAGGATGGTTTGGCACGTTCTATTTTGAAGTTACATTTACTGCAGGTAATAAAAGAATCGTCAAAAAGGACATCTTTGTTGGTCCTTAAAAGGGTGCAGAGCTGCTCCGTCAAGTTAGCTGACCTCCCCATTATTTCATCATCATGCCTTCAATGAAAAGAACTGTAAATTATCATACACTTGAATATGACACATTTCTTACAACAATTGAAAACAATGCGTTTCATACTTTATTGAAAGTTATAGTTTCAGTGAAGTAATCTTGATAGAGATGTTTGAACCAACTGTATTATTACACAGTAAAAACATGAATAATATTATGCATATATCGGTACATATCGCAATCTACATAATAATAATGATAATAAAAAATAAAGATTTATACATCGCCTTATAGCAGAAAAGAGCTCAAAACCAGAAGATTCAGTTCAAGTCATCTACAGCGAATCATGAACATTGAACATGTACATAAGAACTTAGAATTGTATGACGTATGAGTTTATATATGAGTAATTTATTATGAAATGACCTTTCACTATGCAATTTCGATTAAATTCATGTAGATATCCAATCCAGTTCCATGCACAACTTTTGTTTACATTTGGTCTAGTTAGACACAATTTGTTTCAGAGTGACTCGATAATCGCAATATCAAATTAAGATATTATTTAAATGGTCCATGTCATGCAATACGGAAATATCCCCATAAATTGGCAACTGCTAAACTGACACTAAAGTTATTATTAATTCCTTTACAAAACTTAGCAAGTGCTATTAACAATTTCCTAATGGATCATGGAAATTGAAATGTTCAATTTTCGTTTCATATATAATAATTATAATGCGAAGTTTTATTTACCCCAAGTTTGGAGAGTAAGTAGGTTAAACTGGGAATGCCCCTTCCCAGGGACCACATCACCCCTAATATTAAACAATTAAATATCATGGGAGACCATGCACAGCCTCGAATTATAGTATGATGACTTAGAATAAACCTTTTTTGTCTCAAAAAAAGGCTCAGAAAACTAGATTAATTTTCCTCATTTTACCTCATTTTACCTCATCCCAATTTTGCCTTTTTTGGCTGCCCGAATGAGGTAAAATGAGGTTGATCACCTGCTGCAATCGCGCCCACGCATTCGCGCGCCGTTTGCAGCAGTTAGTAGCAGTTAGTAGCAGTTAGTAGCAGTTAGTGCCAGTTTGTAGCAGTTAGTGCCAGTTTGTAGCAGTTTGTAGCAGTTGCGCGCGGCGTGCATTGCGCAGTAAAGACACGCGCTCAACTGCTACAAACTGCTACAAACTGAGCAGCAGTGAGCAGCAGTGAGCAGCAGTGAGCAACAGTTAGCAACAGTTAGCAGCAGTTAGTAGCAGTCATGAGCAGTAGTGAGCAGCATTGAGCAGCAGTTTAGTGAGCAGCAGTGAGCAGCAGTGAGCAGCAGTGAGCAGCAGTGAGCAGCAGTGAGCAGCAGTGAGCAGCAGGTTCTTTGCACTTAGCCCCTCCTTTGAGCAGTTAGTAGCAGTTAGTAGCAGTTAGTAGCAGTTAGTATCAGTTAGTAGCAGTTAGTAGCAGTTAGTAGCAGTTAGTAGCAGTAAGTAGCAGTTAGTAGCAGTTAGTAGCAGTTAGTAGCAGTTAGTAGCAGTTAGTAGCAGTTAGTAGCAGTTAGTAGCAGTTAGTAGCAGTTAATAGCAGTTAGTAGCAGTTAGCAGCAGTTAGCAGCAGTTAGTAGCAGTTGTCATACGTTGTATGACCCGCCGCGCACGAAGTGCGCGGCTCCCCCTGTATCGTCAGGACGATAAAGTGAACCTAGTGAAACGACCGTGGAAACGGTGAAACGACCGTGGGTGTCACAACGTGATACAAAGTAGCAGTTAGTAGCAGTTAGCACCAGTTTATTTGCACTATGGCACCCCTGTGTGCTGCAAATACAGTTGGTTAAAATTACAATACATGCAGTTGGTGAAACATAAGGAGACTAAAGTGCAAAGAAACTGCTACCAACTGCTGCTCATTGCTGGTGACTGCTGCTGACTGTTGCTGACTGCTGCTGACTGCTGCTAATTGCTGCTAACTGCTGCTAACTGCTACTGTCGCATGCGCGCGCGCCATTAGCAGAAGTTAGCATTGTAGGTTTACAACCTACCAGGACGCGCGCCGAGTTCAGAGTTGGACTCGTCGGTACGCGGTCCTGGACATGGAACAAATATTTTACGAGTATCACCCGTTAACAGTTAGCAGCAATTAGCAGCAGTCAGCAGCAGTTAGCAGCAGTTTCTTTACACTTTAATCTCCCTGTGTACTTCGTAGTAGGTAGTGCATGTTAAGAGGCGTACTCGGATTTTAGCACGACAACTTACTTAACGGCCTATTTACTGCTCCAATTTTCCATGACTTCTAGAGATTATTTATTCATTATATTTCATTAAATTGTGATGGTATTAATTTAACTACGTATAATGGGCTCCTTTTAACTAGAGTATGGATATGCAGGTTCCGATATTATGGAATACCTCCCGGTTTGAGACTCACTCAGGGCAGAGTTCAAACCCAAACTCTCAGTGTACAATGGTAGATTTATGACAGGAATTTATGTTATAATTATGGACTTCGAACTTTTAGGTTAATTTATATCTAGAGTTTTAACTTCGAACTTTTAGATGAATTTATATCTGGAAGATAACCAATTAAAACAAGTGAATAAGGATTGTAAAATAATGCAAGACCAATCCAATAGTACATAAAATAAGTGTTCAATCTCATGGTAAAGTCCGTTACCCTAAATCAGTTGGGTAGCTGGGTGATCAATGGGAACTGGTGTGTATTATAAAGGGATGGCTGGCTCTCTCTCTCTCTAGTACAGTGGACGGGTAGCTGCTATATCATGGCTACGTTCCTTCAATGCTGCCAACGAGGGCAGAATCCGTGGGAGGGGAATGTCCTAGAAAGGGACAAATTATTAGCAAATGACGGATTAATTAATGACAATAATATACTAATTAGGATAAAATTAAACAAGATAAAGTTAAATTAGAGTGAACTGTAGAATACGAAATATGTAAGAACTTATCAATAAATGCTCAAATGACTTACGAGGTAATAATGTAGGTGCTGCTAAGGTTAGGACAAGCAAACAGGTAGGATAGGCTCACCACAATATTACCTAGGAAATGTATAAACATATTAGAATTTAATTACTAACCTATCGGGAATGACTTTAGTATTACGAACAATTCGAATCAATAATTGGAAATAGCATTGCAATGAACAACATCTAATTAATAGTTTAATAATTATAAAAGCTATACCTCGAGGAACAACTTTCCTAGCCTATCAGGAATTCAACAGAAGCGACGGGAACCAATTGCAATGATCTGGCATGACGTTAGGAAAATCTGGTGAAAACAACGGATAAGTATTTTACCCGCATATTATGCACAGAGCTTGAACTCATGGAATTAATATTAACTTAATTATGCATGATTTTGATACGGTCTTAGGAACAAAATACTAAGGTCAATGATTTGAAATAAAAGACTACAAACCTATTTATGAAACTAGTGACGTGGGAGAGAGCGCAGCATACTAACACCCCGGGCCGTGTAGGGAAAACCAATCATAGGAGAGGCGTTCGGGAAAAGGCTAAAGGCAGTGAGAATCTTGTGTGTTCATCTTTTGTAGTCTAGGTGTTCTGTGGAAGAGGAGCTCCAGTGGAAGAGGCGGTCCACGCGTTATCCAGGAGAGTTGCAAACAAACAGGTTATTGCAAACAGGTTATTGCAAACAAACATATTATTAATACAAATACCGGTTTTTAAAACTGGTTAAAATATCGTTCCACTAATTGATGAATTCAATAACTCTATTAAGGGGGCCGGGGGGGGTCTTCATCAAAATTCTCTCGAAATTGACTTTGTAGTTGTTTCTAATGGAGGGGATTGATATCTATCAGCTGTTTTTGGTCCCATGGAAAAATATTGTTCCTAGCCGAAAATATTGCCGGTCAAAGGTCAGCGCTTATGTGTAATTGTATTGCGCGAACGATTTTCAATCGCGCGCCCTGAAAATCGAGTCTAAAAATCTATCTTCTCCTACATTTTTTGAGCAATCACCCTGAAACTTTCAGGATATGTTCTAAGGACCATTTAGAAGAGATTGTCGGGCCAGAATTTTGAGATAGGCCTTAGAAAATTTTTTATTCGATTTTGAAAATCTTGGACCTCGTATTTTGACGATTTTTTCAGGTGATAGATATCACTCCCCTCCATCAGAAACAACTACAAAGTCAATTTCGAGAGAATTTTGATGAAGACCCCCCCCGGCCCCCTTAATCCAATAATTTCTTTGTAAATAATTCTAATAACACTAAATGTCCTTTCTGACCAATGGCTGCATTGCTCTGCAAACCTATCCAATCGGATCTTTACTTAATTATATAAGTTATCACTTGATTCATCTTTATGAAACCTAATGCCAAGGTAAATATTTGCAATTTTACATGGTTTTATCTACAATTTTAATCCACATATTAACAATTCTAATTCCAACTAAAACAGCATACTGGGGTTCAACTTAACTTCTAGTTCTGAGATACTACACACGTCCCTAACAGTGCACCATCGACAGCGTGCCGACTGTAGGATGGTTTTTTAGCGCTAATTTCGGCCAGCCTAGCACAAAATTGTTAAAACAAACGTGTATTGAATAACCTTCCCTTGATCCAATTTTAACAAAAATTGGTTAGCTTACTCATAAAATCCGCTCCAGTAGCCATGACCTCCTTATTGAGAGAGGGAGATACACAAAAGAAACTGGAACGTGGACGAGAGCCTGCAGATTCTGCTGCAACAAGGAGAACGTTCAAGGCTTAGAATATCTCCCCTTTTTCGAAGGAACAATCATTGAAAATGAAGAACACTGCCTCACTGAATGTCCAATGTACCACTCAGCGAGACTCTCACTGTCGGAAAACCTTAAGAGTCTTTTGCTGCTCAAGGAATACGGAGCTATCATGAATTCTGCCCATGTGCAAGAACTGGGCAAATTCCTTTGCAACTGTCACCGCATCAGGAACCCGAAAAAGACGCCAATACTGCCTGTCACCCCATCAGGACTACCAACTCAACAGACATAATACAGATCAACCATCATTATGCAGATTTCACGATCTGTTGTACGAGCATGGAACACTAGTGATTACCGTTTCCAGTACGTTGTGAGTGTGAGTGGGAGGACTGTTTGAGTATGAATGTGTCTTTTGTGGACTCGAATACTGATATCGCAGTTTAGTGATCATTGAAGTTGCCTTTTACTACTTCCTTTTATGTTAAATTATTATTTCAGCAATTATTTCTATTTCGGTTGTTTGTACGGGAGTTAAATTTTAAGTGATTTTGTTTTAAATTTTCATGATTCTTGAAATTCGAATTTACTTACTCTATATATGTTATTCATTCATGTATAGTCGAGACGATGGTGTTAGTGCCATCTCCGACAACTTTACGTTTAATTCCGTTTAATTCCGTTTAATTCCGTTTAACTCATAAACTTACAAATAAATTGTTCGAAAAATTTAAAGCATATCCAACCATTAAACATTATGTAACAGCTAAAACCAGTGTATTGTGTATTTTGCCCCATTTTGCTTTATTTTCATCAATATATCAACTCCGCGCGATATCCCAACATCCACAAAATTTGTCGGACAGTTGTGAAAGCCCTATTGGAAGTCTTCGCCGATTTTCAGAATGATCTTATTCAAGGAACCGAACCGAAGATATGAGTATGACAGAATAATACAACAAAAATCACCGAATTTCGTCAAATTACGCGACTTTTACGGCTTTTATTTATTAATAATTTCATACCCAAAGATCGAGCCTTTTCACAAGAATTTTCTTAAAATTTGGGCGAGCGATTTAGTTTGTATCACGTGGTGACCCCCACTGTCGCTTCACTATAGTGAACTCTACCCCTGTAGAGTTTCTACTTCACGTAGCCATGTGTCTAAGCGTACTGCGTGACGCGCTTGTTTCGGCGGTCGCGCGCTACTGCAAGCGAGAGGGCTCCATGGTTAGAGCAAAGTTTCTACGATACAGGGGGAGCCGCGCACTCGTGCGTGGCGGGTCATACAACGTACGTATGACTTGTAGCGCGATGCGTTACTGTGCCGCGCCGCGCACTCAATAAGGCTTCTCACAGCTAGATCGGCGAGATGCGCTACTGTGCCGCGCCGAGCTGCCATGAATTGACATCGTCAATTAACGTATGACAAGATTTAGTAGGAGCGGACTTTTACATTTACTTTTGCTCCAAAAGCCGCGAACAATCAAATATGGCTCCTAGCGCGAAACTCAGTTTCACTGATCATTCCAAAAAGGTATAACAAATTTGGTACTGTGAAAATTCTCACAGTCTCTAGAAAATTAAACAATGGTACAAAAATTTTCAAAATCCCAGCAAGTTTATTTTATCGTGCAGTATATTTTCGGAGGACTTCGCCGCTTCGACGCGCCGCGCGAACTAGCATTCTTGCTTCGCATCGTCGATCGTTGCTTTGCTTCGCAGAGCAACGATCTCGACGGATTGACATCGTCAATCAAAGTATATTCCTATTTGTAGCACTTGCCATCGAAAAGAAAGCGGCGTGCGCAACTTCGCGAAAATTTAGACGAGTAACATCCGTCAAAAGCAATACGAAAATGTGACACTAAACCAATGTCGAGATCAATCATCAATGAAACATCAGAAATATTTGTATCACGTGGTGACCCCCACTGTCGCTTCACTATAGTGTATAGTGTCTTCACTATAGTATCGTCTTCGACGATACAGGGGGAGCCGCGCACTTCGTGCGCGGCGGGTCATACAACGTATGACAAAGAAATATGGCATCAAAAGTAAAATATAATTGATAATAAAATCAATAAATTAGACAACACAAATTGAAAAATGAAAAATGGGGTATTAAAAGTACGACCGGTCGTCAGAATATGACCATGTCGTTTGATCGGAATTGTTACATATTCTGATTCTGAATAAGAAATAAAGATGCAGCTAAGTAGGGATTGTTCAGTATTTGTATCCGTAAACACCATCCCACTGGGGATCGTAGGGCTCCATCCAGCTCTGATCGTTCCAGTCGTCCACTCTTGTCAGTGTCAGCCTTCTCGAAGAAGGTATAAGCAGCCTCTTGGGGCACATCAAAGGCTTTCATCATGGTCTTGAGCTCTGCAATGTCGACAGTACCATCACCGTCATCATCCAGGACATCGTAGTAGTTACCTGGGGACCCCAGGGTATCATGTTCATAAACATATAGAATAGAGATTAGGCGGAATGACAGGCTGAGCGCGGCCCAGTAACGTAGTAGGCGTTGGAGAGTAGGGCAATCATGGAGGGTTCGCCACGTCTTTCCCTTTCTCTCTCGGCCTCAGAGAAGACCCTGTTGGCCTCTGCCCAGTTCTTTCGAATCAGGCCCTTTACTGGATCTACTCCTTTGTTGAGGAAGAAAATGTGGACAGCCTCTCTCATCTTCTCGACCTGTTCGTCAGTAGCGTTGACCAACTGCCTCATCCTGTCGGGCCAGTAGAGGATCTCTTCCATCATCATCTTGCCGTCACTGTCAAGGTCGAAGGTGTCGAATCTCTTGTAGAGTCGTTGGAGCATCTTGGGGTGAACGTCCTCAACGTTGAACTGCCAGTCGTTTCCGACACTCCACAGGTATTTGTAGCTCTCGTTGTTTAGCTCGTTCATGGGTCCAGGCATATTTTGACGGAATTGAATCTTCAGCTAAAGCAAAGATGGATTAAACGGCGTTATCTAAAATTACCAACACCTTCATGGCAAAAACTCAGGATACAATTGCAGCAGGTGGATGGAGCAAAGAATTGAAGATTGTTGAACACAAAGATTTTTTCCTACGAATGAAGGCTGCAGGGAAGAAAGTTGTATACTGCCCAGCTTTCCGTGTGGTCAATGAACACACTTCAAAGGGTGTTGAGTTTGTGGGTGGATCTAAAAAAGTGTACAACAAGTTCAAATATTATGAATTAAGAACGGCTCGAGTTAATATAATGATGAGAAGGTTATGTAACGGGTGGAATATTGTACACGTGAAGTCAACAGGCAGAAAACCTGCCTGGATAAATAAAATTAAATGATACATTTTAAGGAAAACCGATTCGAAGTTTATTGTACTTATTTGTACTTACTCGTACTTGAAAAGGTCTCATCCAACTCTATGATGAGAAGTTCGTGCGGTACGTACTTTATAAAATGGCTGTACCGTACGTACTAATAAAATTGGTTATAAAGTACGATAAATGGGTTATTGATGGAAGTCCGAATTTCGTGACAAAATAATAACAGGAACACTTGAAATGGCGCTACGGGCACCTAAACTTATGTCGCCGCATTCTTATTTCCATCATGAAAATAGTAGTTACTCTACACCAACTGGAACATTACCGCTTGAATCACGACAAGGAGGGTGTGAGACCTTATATTTAGAAGACGACACTGACGCCACTGCGAAACCCACATATTTATTGGAGGTCTTTCTTAAACCAGAACAGTACCTGCTGAAGCAGTTAGTTGATATTTTTTGTTATCTTGAGCTCTTCTTTAATATGCGAAACAAATTTTAGAGACTATGAGTACATAATGGATAAAAGAAGACTCATACTCAAGCCTGAAATAGCCGAAAAACTAGTTTTCATTTATTGCAATAAAAGAATTAAAACCTGATTGTTCCTTTGTAACTCCTATTGAGTATAATTGCAGTTATTCAAATTGATTTATTGTCTTAAAAATTGTTTAATTCGACTTTAGCATTCACTGGCACCAAAATTTTGGTTCGAAAATTGCATATATACCTGCCAATTTTACAACAATAGAAAAATAAGGTCAAAAACGGACACCCTTTTTTCAGAAAATGTTCGTAATGTAAACTGGTTGTACGGTACGTACTAATAAATTTTTAAAAAACCTCGTACCGTACATACTTTATGCCGGGTACGGTACATACTTCTCATCTTAGATCCTACTCCTTAAGAAACTCCTTATTCCAATGTATAAGACTAATGTACCCTGGCTAGTGTAGCTGATGCTTGTTGCTCTGCAGCTTCCATTATGATATTAACGAGTTAACGACACTTATGAAAATAGCCGCATCCTCTGGGACACAGGATGCGGTGAGTTCTTGCGGGATCCAGTGCAGAAAATAGTGCAGAAAATAGTTGGGTATTCTCTCTTATGGCATCCTCAACACGTGACCAAACCATCTAGCTCCTAGGAGTCTAGCTGCTCGTACAACAGGGGTGATGTTGGCTCGCTTGAGTACGCCAGCGTTAGATACACGGTAGTACCATTTTATTTTCAGGATTCTTCTCAAGCAAACATGTCAAATCTTTTCATCCGCGTCTGTGTGGTATTCCATACTGATACATCACTTCCACAAAGCAGTACAGTAAGCATAGCCGCTTTATAGATCCTGATTTTAGTTGGTGTCTTAATATTGCAACTGTACCAGATGCTGTTGAGCTGATAGAATGCCCCAGAGGCCTTTATCAATTGTTTCATCCGAACTGATGATAGCACCAAAATAAGTGAAGTTGCTGACCTGTTGTATTGGGAGACCTTCCACGTTGATGTCCACGGTGTTGTCTTTCGAATACGGCCTCTGCGATGCACTTTTGCTAACAGCCATGATCTGTGTTTTGCCAGCATTAATCTTCAGATCTGAATAGCCACTATTTTTACAAAGAAGGTCAGTGGTTTCATGTAGCCCCTCTTTTCAGTTGTCTAACACGGCATCAGCGTAATTAGTTTCATATTTTAACATAAGACAGAAATTGGAAAATATGAATATTCATTTTGCTAAGCTTTCTGCAGTGAGCTTCCTCTGAACAAAATCAAACTTCTACACCTAAATCGTGTCAAATGCCATTTCTAATTAACTGACTTATAATTTGTTGCGTATGAAAAAAATCAGCCAAAACAGTAAAATTTCGGTCCTGGAAATTGATTGGGGTACCTGTTGTATGTGATCAAGCAGTTTTTTAATTGATTTTGATTCGTCATCTTCCCATGACAGCTTGATCTAAATTGTGCACAACTATCCGGCAGCAGCTTGAAACTGTCCCTGAAAGGTTGATCCGCGACTCATCGACTGAAATAAGGTTCTGCTGAGTTTATACCGTCATTTGTGATAAAGATAGTCTACCACGAGAATGTCTGTTTTACGTATTTAGATCACTAATGTAAGTTATAGGATCTATAACCTCTTCTTTACTAAAAGATATTGGACCTTTCAAATTATCACATTCACATTAATTATCAATTACATTACACTATACAGGGTTTCACTCTTAATCATACTAATTAATTACCCTGATTCAAATGTCTCTAATTGATCGTAACAGATTACGATAAAAATAATGATAAAAATCAATCGGTTATTAGTAAAGTAATAAGAGTACCATGATATTATAATTAATTTGCAATCAATTAATATGTTATCCTAACGAGATTATCATTAACAAAAAGCAGTGACCAGGGTATAAAAGCAAGTGCACTTTCTCTTCAAAGTATCACTTCCATTTTGAAGTTGTCAATTCAGTTTAATTTTCATCGAATATAGATTTTACCTGTTCTGCATCATTTGATTCAAGACATTAGTATATAAAGCACTTCCTGCACTTTTTTCCATTCACTTAATCCCTCTCTACTTTAGCTGAAGATTCGATTCTGTCAAGATATGCCTGGACCCATGAACGAGCTGAACAACGAGAGCTACAAATACCTGAGGAGTGTCGGAAACGACTGGCAGTTCAACGTTGAGGACGTTCACCCCAATTGATGCTCCAACGACTCTACAAGAGATTCGACACCTTCGACCTCGACAGTGACGGCAAGATGATGATGGAAGAGATCCTCTACTGGCCCGACAGGATGAGGCAGTTGGTCAACGCTACTGACGAACAGGTCGAGAAGATGAGAGAGGCTGTCCACATTTTCTTCCTCAACAAAGGAGTAGATCCAGTAAAGGGCCTGACTCGAGAGGACTGGGTAGAGGCCAACAGGGTCTTCTCTGAGGCCGAGAGAGAAAGGGAACGACGTGGCGAACCCTCCATGATTGCCCTACTCTCCAACGCCTACTACGATGTCCTGGATGATGACGGTGATGGTACCGTCGACATTGCAGAGCTCAAGACCATGATGAAAGCCTTTGATGTGCCCCAAGAGGCTGCTTATACTTTCTTCGAAAAGGCTGACACTGACAAGAGTGGACGACTGGAACGATCAGAGCTGGTGCATCTCTTCAGAAAGTTCTGGATGGAGCCCTACGATCCCCAGTGGGATGGTGTTTACGGATACAAATACTGAACAATTACCCCAACTTCATCTTTATTTCTCTGCTTTCAGAATATGTAACAATTCCGATCAAACGACATGGTCATCTGACGACCGGTCGTACTTGTAGTACCCCATTTTTCATCTTTCAATTTGTGTTGTCCAATTTATTGATTTTATGATATTTTACTTTTGATGCCATATTTCGGATGTCTCATTGATCTCATCGGTTCACAATTTTGTGCCGCTTTTCTATTGCTCAATAATTGCTGATATTTTATATTTGATGACAAATTAATTTACTGAGTATAGGCACTGCATTTGATTCAAGATAATATTATGAAAAGCACTTCCTGCACTTTTTTCCATCCACTTAATCCCTCTCTACTTTAGCTGAAGATTCGATTCCGTCAAGATATGCCTGGACCCATGAACGAGCTAAACAACGAGAGCTACAAATACCTGAGGAGTGTCGGAAACGACTGGCAGTTCAACGTTGAGGACGTTCACCCCAAGATGCTCCAACGACTCTACAAGAGATTCGACACCTTCGACCTCGACAGTGACGGCAAGATGATGATGGAAGAGATCCTCTACTGGCCCGACAGGATGAGGCAGTTGGTCAACGCTACTGACGAACAGGTCGAGAAGATGAGAGAGGCTGTCCACATTTTCTTCCTCAACAAAGGAGTAGATCCAGTAAAGGGCCTGACTCGAGAGGACTGGGTAGAGGCCAACAGGGTCTTCTCTGAGGCCGAGAGAGAAAGGGAACGACGTGGCGAACCCTCCATGATTGCCCTACTCTCCAACGCCTACTACGATGTCCTGGATGATGACGGTGATGGTACCGTCGACATTGCAGAGCTCAAGACCATGATGAAAGCCTTTGATGTGTCCCAAGAGGCTGCTTATACCTTCTTCGAGAAGGCTGACACTGACAAGAGTGGACGACTGGAACGATCAGAGCTGGTGCATCTCTTCAGAAAGTTCTGGATGGAGCCCTACGATCCCCAGTGGGATGGTGTTTACGGATACAAATACTGAACAATCCCAACTTAGCTGCATCTTTATTTTTCATTCAGAATATCTAACAATTCCGATGAAACGACATGGTCATCTGACGACCGATCGTACTTGTAGTTGTAGTACCCCGTTTTTTATCTTTCAATTCGTAATTCGTATGTTGCAGGTTGCCCAATATTTATTGATTTTGTTATATTTTACTTTTGATGCCATATTTCTGATGTTTCATTAATGATTGATCTCGACATCGGTTTAGTGTCACATTTTCGTACCGCTTTTGACGGCTGTTACTCGTCTAAATTTCTGCGAAGTAGTGCGCGCCGCTGTCTTCTCGATGGCAAGTGCTACGAAGTACACAGGGAGACTAAAGTGCAAAGAAACTGCTACTA